AGTCTTACTTTCCTGGGTAGATTTGCAACCCCGAAGAGGTTCAGTTATCCTCTACCTTTTTCCTGGTGGCTAGTAATCTCAGTTACTCAGTGCCTTGGAAAGTAGCCCTGGTGTTCTTCATAAGAGGATTTCCAGAAGGTGAGATAGATGTTGGTTGTTAATGAACCTCAATTTTTATTTCTTTGCCTCACTTGAGAAAGGCTGAATCTCCAAGGTGGGGGAGGGGGGGGAAGCTGTTGCTTTTCCCCACAGCTCTGGGAAGGAGCACACTGGACACCATCCTTTGTGGCTGCAACTCAGCAAAAACTCTGAGTGCCCTCCAAATCCCGGTTGTCCCCACAGAGTTCCATCCTAGTCTGCCCTCCCTCTGCTGTAGCCCCCAGTTGAGTGGCTGTGGCTCTTTTACACTCTGTCCTGGCTGTCTGCACTGTGGAGTGTGCTTGGTCTTTATTGCCCAAGGACACTGCTCACAGCTAAGACTGTTGCTGTCCCTGGGCTCACAGCCTGCCACCCTCTCGCACCTCCATAGATCCTACCAGTGTCCCTGGTTATATGGTCCTATCCTGCTGCTTTTCTGTTGCTTTTTTTCTGAGGATTGTCTTTATTTTAGTTGTAATTCCCGTTTGTTTCTGGGAGATCCTCTGCATGGCTTCTATTCACTCTGCCTCCATTTTCACATCCTCTATGCCTATCTTGTGCACAGCTGGGTCCCACAGGTCTTTCTGGTGCCCCCGCATCCTGCAGGTCCCATGGGTAACTGGATGGCACAGTCCCTGCTGGGTAGCTCAGGCCTCTCTGGTGCTTCACCACCATGCAGATCCTGAGGGTAACTAGATCACATGGTCCCTGATGGGTCGCACAGGCCTCTCTGGTGCCCCCCACACCCTGCAGTTCCCAAGGGCAGGCAGATGGATAGCACCAGTCTCTCTTGGGCTCCAACTTCCCACTGCTCTTGTGGGTTACTGGACAGCACAGGCCTCTGTGGAGCCCCAGGTCCCACTACTGTCAGCTGGGGAGTGCTGCTGCCCCGTGGGGCTCAACTCCTGCTCAGCTTTTGCTGTAGTTTTTGGGGATGGGTCTCAGCTGCTGGTCTGTGCTTCTGTTGCCTGGGGATTGATGTCTGCTCCCCAGCCTCTGTTGCTGGGGGTATATCTCGACTCTGATCAGGCTGCTACTATGGGGGATGGTGCTGGGCTCCGGACTGTCCGCGGCTTCAGTGACCGACACCTTGGGAGCTCCACTACTGTGCACTGGTCTGTTGACACAGAGTGTCCACTGGTCCGATGGTGCCAGGTATGCTGGTGGGCTCAGGTTGCTGGGCCCTAGCTGCTCCCACTGCCTCCTCCCAGGGAAGACCAGGGATCTTCCAAAATGTTGGGAAGCGCCCTGAAGGTCTGCTTACCATGGTAGCCGGCTGCTCCAGTCCACAGCAGAGGAACCTTCTGCTCCGTGGCTCTGCACTGCTCGGGTTTGGTCGTCCACCTTCACGTCCATTCACACTCTCTCACACACTCACCCTCTCTCGGGTCCTGCTTGCTGGCATCATCTGCCTCTAGCCAAGGTTTTTTATTTATGTTGTTTTGTTTATCCCCTAGTGGATCTACCTTATCAAACCACAATTACAATGATGAATTCCCTGTGAAGAAGAATCATGGTCCTTATCCAATGGAGACACAGCGGAGCTTCCATGGCATTGTTATTGATCCTCTGGGTATAGATTCTTATGCCTCTGTGTGGGGCTGGGGAGACAGTAAGTGGGTATGAAGGGTAGGGAATAGGTAATTTTGAGGACAAAGGATCTTGAAATCAGAAGAGAAATATAATATTTTCTCTTGGTTTTTATTGATTTTTCTCAGTATCCTCTTCCTAATAGAAATGTCAATTAGACAATGCATGGCTCTGTGACCTTATCAGCCCATTCTACATTAAGTGGTACATGCCAATTTTAAAGAATGAACTTACAAGTTTATGTTAAACCTGGAGAAAAGGCAGAATAACATGAAGGACTGATGGCAGACATGATTTTCTTATAGATGCTTCCCAATCCTGAGGTCGCCTGGGGGAGCATTTTCTCCTTCACATTTACATGTGAAAATAACATGCTCTAAGAAAACAAAGCAAATTGGGAGATGTCAGGGATGTTGCCTTCTAATATTGTACTCCCAGGGTCAGTGAGCATTTCTACCATCTGACAGGTCCCAAGTCACACTCACTCTGACTCATTCACCTGTCTATTGCTACTTTGGCACAGGTCAAATCAGCTCAAAAACATGTGTTGAACACTTATTCTGTACCAAAATTTATCTTATTTGCTGTGAATAAAGATGAGTCAGAAGTGGTCACTGCTCTTGAATGTCTTACACTAACATAGAAAAAAATAATGTCAATGTAATTTGTTAAGGGCTATGATGGAGGTAAGTACATCATGTTGCAGGTACATTTATGTATCAAGGATATGCTAGATGTTTTGAATGTGTGTATTTGTGTGTGCCTATATCTATGTGTGTTGGAGATAGGTGAGAGTGAGGAATGGGTAAGAAGGCTTAGAAATCAGCAATATCTTGTAGCAGCCCTTTCTCTCAATTAACTACCAATGTGGCATCACTTAGAACTTTGTGACAAGTGTTCAGTGTTATCCTCTGTATCTTTTCATCAAAACCAAGAAACACTATTTGCTTACCATTTAACTTTGCCTGGGATCTAGCCATGTGATTGATACCATTGCACTAATCCCTACTCTGGGAAGGGTGTGAGCTGTGGCAGAAGAAGTAGTCTAAAGGACCTGAGCTGAACCATAACCTGGAGACTTTAAGAACTAACCAGGTGGTACCTTCCTCTAGGTGGATGGTAAGTCCAAAAGTATCTATCTTAAAATAGCTTCTGTTATCAAAATTTATTTTATATCAGCTATTTAACAACAGACTATATTTCTCATTAGAAGAAATTCTATATTAGTTTTATTTAAGTAATTGTTAGATCATACAGACTCCCTTGCTCCAGTACATTCATTCATTAAACCAATATTTGCTGGGAATCTACAATGTTCCAGAGAACACACTGGCACCAGGGATTAAACATGGCTATAGTTTGGTCCTTTCTATCTGAGACTCTTTGGGCTCAGAAGCTAGGTCTTTTGTCTGTATCCCAGTTACCAAGGAAGTGCTTGGCCAATAACATTTACTCAACAAATAAGGTGATTGAATATTCAAGGTGTGATGAATGTTTAACAAAAGTGATGCTAACTTTATGTAGTGGGCATACACCTTAGATATAGGAAATAGGCTGAGCACAAAACCAGTAGGGTATAAAAATACAGTGAACTAGTTATGTGGCAGGAAAAATGGTTGGAAAGGTAGCTGTGCAACCATAAAAGATAGTCAAGCAGAGATATTAATATTTTACTTATTTGTTATTTCAATGATGAATTGAAATCTTTCATCATTTTGACTCATGGACTCATCCAAATGCCTAAGAGTCCATTATCAGGTTATGTAAAGTGTGACTGTGTCTTTTTGAGAAAACTCCTGGCAACTCCTTTAGTCCAGGAGTTCTTAACTTGGAATTCAGGGGGTTCTTTCATTTAGATGTGAATGCTACTTCTTTATTTTATTTTAAATGAAATCTAAAATGTTCATTATTGAATGTAGGTAAACAACCCAACCCAGCATTATCAGTATCCATGACTTTATCACCAATGGAAGTCAGAGGTATTTTTTATATCTCATAGCAGTTGTTGAAGATATTTCAAAATATTATTTAAACTCACCATTTTAAAATTAAAGTAGTTATTATACCTGCCACAACATTTTAATATTTAATGTTTTAAAGAAGCACATGTAGCCCTGGCCAGGTTGCCTCAGCGGTTAGAGCGTCAGCCTGTGGTCCGGAGAGACCCAGGATCGGTTCCCGCTAAGGGCACGTACCTCAGTTGCAGTTTGTCCCTGGCCCTGGTTGGTTGTGTGGGTGGCAGCCACTCGATGTGTCCCTTTCACGTCGATGTTTCTCTCTCTCTTCCTCTCCCTCCCTCCCACTCTATCTGAACAAAAAATGGAAAAATGTCCTCGGGTGAGGATAAAAAAAAAAAATTAAAAAAAAAAAAAAAGAAGCACATGTATTATTATATCACATATTTGTTCTCTAAAACTATTTTGATGACTATATTTTGACATAATTGGTTTTCTTGATAATCCTATATATTCTATCTTTGTATGTACATACATGTGTATGTATGTGTGTATATATGTATGTATTTGATGTATTTAAAACATTATTTTGATGTACTTTTATCAGACAGATCAGACAGTTAAAGGATTAATAGCCCAAGCCTCATGTAGAGCCTTAAAATTTGGACTTTAAACTAAATTTCTATTTTTGAAGTGCTTTATGATATTTTATTATTATTTTCAAATTCTTGCATATCTCTCTAGGTAAGCTTTTTAAATAAATCTACTAAACTATGTGACCAAATAATTTTTACTTACTTTATTTAATTAATGATAATTTATTGAACAAAGCTCTGTGCTATGTCTAATAAAGTACACAAAATGAAAAAGACATAGACACAATTTTCAAAGGAGTTTCTCATCTCTGGGAGGAGTAGACAGAGAGTACAAGGCAGGGGGAGATGATGAGCTGGGGGAGGCAGATCAATGCTATGTAGTCTGAACACAGAAAACTAGCCATGCTGGAGGCTTAAAGTGGAAATTATGTCCTGATGGTGTGTCTGTTGTTTTGGAAGTTCATTGACGATTAGGACTGATATTTGGGAGCAGCAGCTGAAGGTGAGGAAAAATTTCCATAGAGATTGTGGCACACTGGTCAGTTATCACTTGGTTTCCCAGCTCCTTCACAACAGGTTATTTTCTCTAAGACAAAAGTCAGTTCTGTAGGTTACTTTAGCTCTGTTTCATTTCTTATTCCTTTGTGACTACCCTTTTCAGAAGGAGACAACAGAAATAGTTGTAGGTCCAAAGAATTAAAAACATCTACATCAACATGAGATGGGGAAGGTGTGGTAAGAGCAGCAGAAGACTCAAAAGCTTTAGTTACTAATAAAGTGAAATTAAATGGTATGATTTATAAATGATTCAATATATCTTTTTATTATTAGATATGTGATGTTCAGAATAAAAAAGATGATTTTGATCTACTCTAAACTTGCCAGATGACACTAAAAATCTTATAAAGTATTAAGTTTTGCAAAATTGAAAATGTTCCAACTAAAGCAGAATGATCATCTTCTAAAAACTTTATAAAGGGGATTCTTGAAACAGTTGGTAGTGATTGGAGGCAATTTCTAAGCCCTTCAACTCTGAATTATATAATTTTATAGGTTATTGACATGTTTAGCATATAACTTCATACTGAACAAGGAAACAAACCACGAGACAGACAAATCAGACACAGGTGACAGAATTCTTCCTTCTGGGACTCTCTGATGATCCACATACCCAGCAGCTGCTATTCATCTTATTCCTGGGTGTTTACCTCATCACTGTGCTTGGAAATCTGCTTCTTAAGTCCCTTGTTCAGGTTGACTCCCTGCTCCACACATCCATGTATTTTTTCTCTGCAGTTTATCTCTGGCTGACCTCTGTTCCTCTACCATCATTGTTCCTCAGGCCCTAGTCCACCTGCTCTCCAGGAAGAAAGTTATTTCATTCACACGTTGTGCAGCTCAGATTCTACTATTCCTTATTTTGGGGGTCACACAGTGTGCCTTTCTGGCAGTGATGTCTTATGATAGGTACATGGCCGTCTGTAACCCTTTGCATAACCCCAGCATCATGACTTGGAGGCTATGTGTCCAGCTGGCTGTGGGATCATGGACCAGTGGCATTCTGGTGTCTGTGGTGGAAACCACCTTCACACTAAGGCTCCTACAGAGGCAGCAATAGCATTGCTCATTTCTTTTGTGAGGCACCTGCACCGTTGATCCTGGCATCCACAGACACCTGGACTTCAGAGATGGTCATTTTCCTCATGGGCATTGTGATTCTCCTTATACCTGTTGCCCTAATTCTGGTATCCTATGGCTGTATCGTAGTGACTGTGGTCAGGATGAAGTCAGCTGCAGGGCAGCTCAAGGCATTCTCTACCTGTGGCTCCCACCTCATGGTGGTCATCCTTTTTTATGGGTCAGCAATTGTCACCTACATGATACCAAAGTCTTCCAAAGAACTGAAAAAACTGTTGTCTGTGTTCCATGCAATGGTGACCCCCATGGTTAATCCCCTCATCTATAGTCCGAAGAAGAAGGATGTGAAGGGAGTTCTGAGGAGAGTGGCCACAAGAAATTTTCCATGCAAGATTGGAGTTTGCCACTGACATGAGACTCTCCTGACTCCCTACTTGTAAAACTTTCTGAGTAGTTTCCTCCGCAAGACTAGACTGTGGTATGAGTCTCATACTTGGGCCTTGTCCATGGACCTACCTTCTATCTTTCATTTAGCACTTCCTCATAGAAGAAGAAGGACAATAATTTACGAAGCAATAGGAAGGAGGGCCTTCCCTCTGGTTAGTCTTTTAGCATCTGAGTTAAGAAATCCCCTGAGAAATATCCACATTTTATGAACCCTGGAATCTGTAAAATCTATCTTATTAAATCATGCTATACATTAGTATCTATCTTATCCCAGAACCTACTCCAATTCCTTTATCTTTTGATATTTCTGTGCATCACCAATGATCAATCAATTAATAAACATTACTTAATCATTTACTATGAGCTAGGTGCTACGTGTGTGTGTCCATGCACATGTACCTACATACAGGGGTGGGTGAAAGTAGGTTTACAGTTGTGAGTACAAGAAACACAAAGTCTATTCCTGTATTGTCATGTATTTATTATTGCAACATTTATCTGTATTACTTGCAAACCTACTTTTCCCTATCCTTGTATATGTTTGAGGTGGGTCTTGAAGAGCATGGACATGATGAAGCAGAACTGATCAGCTGTGCTGTATTTCTCATATGCTCATTAGAGACATGAGCACTGTATCTATAAGGACACCCTTTATGAAGGTAAAGACGGGGTTTTGGAAACCAACAAGAGATAGTGGCATCCAAAGGCAGCAAGAGTAAAAAGCTATTACCAATCCTGTGTCTAAAGGACCAAGAGGAGGCAACTAGAACGTGGAGAGGGTAGCTGTGTATAGAAGGTCACCAGGCAGGAGCTGTGGACTTAGGCATATGGAGGTGAGGAAGCCATGGGAACAAATGTTTCAAGGTCATTCTTGAAACCTCTGATTTCCTATTACTGTGTTCAAAAAATAAATAAAATAATTTGTTTTAATTTAATCACATCTACAAAGTACATGTAAAGAAACATATCTAGGGGACTAGGACATGAACATCTTTGTGAAGTATTATCCTGCCTACCATACTAAGGTCTAGTAAAATGAATGTGAGGCAGTGATTAAAGCTTGGCTAAAATTGGAGATGATAAATTTATAGTGGTGCCAATCTGCTTAGTTGTGTGATTGCCACCATGCAAATAGAACCCTGTGATTGCCTTTTCATTTATAAATTTCAGTGGTGATATTCAGAATGTGCTGCTCTCCTAGAGCCCTTGATACATGTCAACTGGAGGATATCTTGTGTGGGAGATTGAACTGGTCCTGGTACCACCATGGCACACAGAGTTAGAATTGTTTATAGGGTTTGTGGAGGGGTCATGCTGTGCAGTGAGTGCTATTTCACTTTGTTAATTATCAATACATTCTTATGAATAGATCACACAAAGCTATGGTGTCCATGTCTCAAGTCTGTTATTTGCCAAGAGTCCAGAGCTGGGCAATATTCACTGGACAAAATCATAAAGAGTGGCTACGACATTGCTTGAGTGATAGGCAAGCTTATGATTTTTTTTAGAGGGAGAAAGAGAAAGAGAGAGAGAGAGAGAGAGAGAGAGAGAGAGAGAGAGAGAGAGAGAAAGAGAGAGAGAGAGATACACCAATGTGAGAAATAAACATTGGTTGGTTGCCTCTGGTATGCACCCTTACTGATGGAACCAGCAACCTGGCTTATGCCCTGACTGGAAATCGAACTGGAAACTTTTTGGTACACGGGACCATGCTCAACCAACTGAGCCACACCAGCCAGGGTTTGAAAATGCAAGCTTAAATGAGACAGTTGACTTCACGCCATCACAATAAGATTACCAAAAATGTCTATAAACAAAGAAACTCTGGGTTATTCACAGCAGTTTTCTATAATTTGCCCACTTATACTTGACTGGGGATTCCTTCAACCCTTTCAGTCAAGCAACTCTCATATTCAAGGTGGATAATCTGAGATTGAGGCAGCTGCCAGGAGTGTGGAATTTTCTTTCTCCAGTTGAGGCACCGACCAATTATAGTAGCAGAAGAAGAATTCAATTGCTAGCACTCTAAATATGTGTACTTTATAAGCCAGCAGAGTTTTAAAGTATCTTTTTATTCTCTCTCACTATAATTTCCAGGAGGCAAGACATTTGTCTGTTTTATTCACCAATGTGTCTTCTGGGCCTAAACAGGGTCTAACACATGCTGAGAACTGAATAAAAATTTGTTGAAAATATAAAAAGAAAGAATGAAACAAAACTCGACTATTTATTAACATTACATTACCTTGTAAACAAAAAAGATCCTTTAAAGTTGCAGGTGGAGTTTTTGGACAAATAGAAGAAAGTGAAGCAGAAAATTATAAAATGACATCGATGAAGAAGTTCAAGAAACAGTTAAAACAAAACAAAAAAAATTTAAAACAACAAAAAAGGCCAATTGTAGTGAAGTGTTCAACCTTCAGATGGGCACCTAATCTGTGTAGACCAGCGGCATCTTCAGAGACATTGAAGCCACAGTCCCGCAGAACCCTGGGGCCACTGCAGTTCTTTCTTTTAACACTCTTGTTCTTTTTAGAAATGAATTCCAGTACAAAGTCCAAGATCCCAGTGAGTACACTGTGGCTCCTGCAGAGCGGAGTGCATTTGAGGAATTTGTTTTTCTTTCCTTTGTCCTTGCATTCTACCCCTTCCGTTTCCATCTGAATCACAGTTTCTGTGGGCCCAGGGTCCTGTGGGTGACCCGCCTCAGTGCAGCCTTCACTTCACTATTCCTTAGGCTGTAGATGATGGGGTTCAACATGGGAGTCACCACTGTGTAGGAGAGCGACAGCAGCTTCTTGTTCTCAGGTGAGGTGCTGGACCGGGGTCGGAAGTATGTGAGGATGGCAGTGCTGTAGAAAAGGGAGACAACCAGGAGGTGGGAGGAACAGGTGGAGAAGGCCTTGCGTTTCCCCTCAGCTGAGGGCATTCTGAAGATAGTGGAGAGGATGCGAACATAGGACCCCAGGATCATCAAGAAAGGGAAGAGGATGAACAGGACAGTGGCTGTCAGAGCCTCCAGTTCAAACAGAGAGGTATCAGCACAGACCAGTGCAATGACAGGGGGGCTGTCACAGAAGAAGTGGTTCACCCTGTTGGGGCCACAGAAAGGGAAGCTGAAAATCCATGTGGTTTGCACAGTGGCCACTGGAAACCCTGAGAACCAAGAAGCAGCTGCCAGCTGGGCACAGGCACTGCGGCCCATGAGGACTGGGTAGCGCAAAGGGTCGCAGATGGCCACGTAGCGGTCATACGCCATTGTGGCCAGGAGGCAGCACTCAGCAGCCCCAAAGAAGAAGAAGAAATACATCTGAGTGGCACAGCCAAGGAAGGAGATAGTTGTGTTTTGGATGATCAGGGTCCCCAGCATCTTGGGTACAATGACCAAGTTAAAACCTATCTCCAGGAAGGACAAGTTCCTGAGGAAAAAGTACATAGGACTTTGTAGGGCAGAGTCAGCTGTAGTGACCAGGATGATGAGGAGATTTCCCATTAGGGTAACCAGGTAAATGATCAAAAAAAGGAGAAACAGTAGAGCTTGTAGCTCAGAAGACAAAGCTGAGAAACTCACAAGAACAAACTCACTGACAATTGTCCAGTTTCCCCACATCATTCTTCTGCCCAGGACTTCACTGGGCATTAATGCTGCGGGAAGAAGTCTCCATATATTCTATATACTCTATTATACCCTTGGAAAGGGAACCTGCTGTGGTCTTGTTCTCTGCCTCTCTTGTTATAGTTGCTGAAGATCAAACAGTGTACTTTCAAAAAATGTAAAAAACAAGTCAGATTATGGGGTTCACAATTTTTGGGGGAGAATACTAACCGTTTTCAGACTGAACTGAGGCACACCATATATATCTATACATCTCCTGACTTTTCCCTGCTTTTCTGTTTTTTTTTTTAGCACTGGACAGTGATGCTAAGAAGTCAGGCCAAGCATTTCTGAAGAGAAGGGTCTTGAGGCACAATGGAAGATCTTGACGTGAGTCAGGATATGTTTTCTATAAAATAAAAAAGTGGGAAGGAAAGCAAAGGAAGTGAGCCAACAGTTACCAATGATCCCTGAGGAGGACACCAGAATGTGTCCCATCTCCAGCAGCCCACGCTCAGGAAGATTTCAGCATATTGGAAGAATCTTCATTTCTGAACTCCGACAATTGCAATTTAAACAAGAAGACACACAATATAGAAACTGCGTTTTATTTTGATCCCTGGAATAGATATTCTCCATGTGGCTATATGTGACCAGACAAAGGAAAGACAGACTCAGGATAGTATCAGACTGCAGAAAGAATCTAGGTGTGTTATAGAAAATCCTTTCATCAGTTTCTATTGTTTGACTTGTATCTTCACTCTCAAGAAATGTGAAGCCCAAGTGTGATGCTAGTAAAGACCAACTTAAACTATTCAGGTGTAACTAATACTATTAAATCCTATGAAAAAGAAACAGAAGATTTAATCATCGTATCAATAACTAAGCTTCAAAATTGGGACTCTGAAATTCTTTCTGATAAGTGCACACTTAAAGAAAGAAAGAAATCTAAAGCACATAGCATGGTATCTGGTATATAATACATATGCAATAAATGCAACCCATTATAACTATTCTAATATAATGTTAAGTCTACTTTTAAAAATCAACTTCTTATCTAACCCATTGCCTAAACTTACCATAGCCCTTGCTTTTCACCTCTGATAAGAGAAACGTTTATTCAATCAATATTGATTGTATTCTAGACATTATTCTAGATACTGAAGATAATATATAAGAAAAACAAACAAACAAACAAACAAACAAACAAATCTCTGCCCTCGTAGAACTAAACTTCCAGTAGAGAAGAGAGATTATAAACAAATTACATAAGTAGAATGTATGGTTTGTTAGCAACAAGAATAATGGAGAAGAATAAAGCTGTGGAGAAGGAAATGGGCGTTTGGGAGAGTGGGGAGTGTCACACAA